TTTGTTGGTCATTCTCAAAGTTCTTAAGCTTTAAGGTTAGTTTACTTATGTGGGCTCGATCCTCTTTCCTGAGCAATGCTTGTAGAGCTCTAAACTTTCCTTTTAACACAGCTTTTGCTGTGCCCCATAAGTTTTGGTAACTGGTGTCCTCATTTTCGTTTGTTTCCAGGAATCTTTTTATTTCCTCTTCCATTTCCTTTCTAAGCCACTCCTTGTAAAATAGTGAGCTGTTCAATTTCCAGGTGTTTTATTTAGTTTTCTGTTTGTGTGTGATTTACTTCTAATTTAAGCGTATTGTGGTCTGAGAAGATTGTTGATACAATCTCTATCTTGTTAATTTTATGGAGTTATGTTTTGTGACTCAGCATGTGGTCTATCTTGAAGAATGTTCCATACACACTTTAGAAGGATGTGTATTCAGGTTTTTGATGATGAAGTGTCCTGTATATATCTACTAAGTCTCTTTCTCCCATTTTTTCCCTCAGATGAAGTATGTCCTTGCTAAGCTTGAGTCTGGTTAATCTATTAAGAGGTTATTCAACACGGTGTTGAAGTCTCCCACTAGAATTATTTTGCTATCGATGTCTTTCTCCAAGTCGATGAGTAGTTATTTTACATACTTTGCTTGTCCCTCATTAGGTGCATATACATTTAGTATTGTAAGTTATTCCTGTTCTACAGATTCCTTGATCAATAAGGAGTGACCTTCACTCTCTCTTGTGACTTTTTTCACTATGAAATCTATGTGGTCTAATACTAGGATGGCTACCCCAGCTTTTTTATGGGAGTTGTTTGCATGTAGATTGTTTTACAGCCTTTGATTCGGAGCCTGTGTTTGCTTTGACTATTGAGATGTGTTTCTTGGAGTCTGAAGATAGTTGGGTTCAATTTTCTAATCCATCCTACCACTCTGCTTCTTTCAATTGGTTCGTTTATCCCATTGACATTGAGAGAAATTATTGTTATGGGGTTTTGTACCACTGTTATGTTGAAATTTTGTGTATTTGAGGGACCTGTCTTGTCTTAAAGTAGCCCATTTTATTGTTCTTGTAACCATGGTTTTGATACTATGAAGTTCCCGATCTGTTGTTTGTCTGTGAAACTGTGTGTTGTTCCTTCTGTTATGAATGAGAGTCTTTCTGGGTACAGTATTTTTGGTGAGGCATTTATTTCATTGAGTATTTTCACTATATCCCGCCGCTGTTTTCAGGCCATGAGGGTTTCATCAGACAAATCAGCTATGAATCTTAAGGATGCTCCTTTGTAGGAAATTTCTTTCTTTGATCTTGCTGCTTTCAGAATTTTGTCTCTAAGGTTTTGGTCATTTTGATCAAGATGTGTCTTGGGGTATTTTTATTCAGATTTCTTCTAGCTGGTACCCTTCGGGTCTCCTGAATGTGGTCGCATGTTTTCTTCAGCTCTAGAAAAATCATAGTAATCATGTTTTTGATGGTTTCTTCTTCATCAAGGTTTTCTTCCTGTCCCTCTGGGACTCCAATCATTCTTATGTTACTCCTCCTGGCTTCATCACTATTTTCTCTTGCCATCTGTTCCCAAGTTGTGAGTCTCTTTTCCATTTTCTGCTCTTTTCTGGAGTCTCTGAACTTCATCTTCCAGCTCACTGATTCTGTTCTCAGCAGCTGTTACTCTGCTACAGAGGCCTTCCACTCTGTTTTTCAATTCGCCTACTAAGTTTTTCTGGTCTGACTATTTCGGTTTGTAATTTTATTTGCATTTTCATCATTTCTACCTTCAAATCCTCTTGTCTTTTATTAGCATTGCTTTCCATTCTTTCATTGAGTTCCCTAAGCATCCTCAGTAGTTCCCTTCTAAATTCTTTCTCAGAGAGTTTGTCTTGCACTTCAGTACTATTGGTGTCTTCTGGGCTAGCCTCTTCAATAAGTAAGCTAGGTGGGCTTTCGCCTTGCTTTGCCATTGTGACCTGTTTGCTTTAGACCTTCACGCTCACTGTTACTATTCTGCTTAAGATGTAGAATAAATTGAGATAGGCTTAATTAATTATTGGCTAATGTGTTTCTGATGGTTATGCTAAACTTGTGAAGTTCCATCTAAGAGGGTAACTTATGGTTCTTATGGGATTTATAGGGGGAGAATAACTCAGGACCGCATTAGTGGCTGCGGCTCCAGGAAGGTACCCTGCCGCCAGGCGGGTACCTGATTGAATGAGCAGAGAGTAGCGGAAAGGCTCAGCTTTGGGTTCATGGAATGTGTCTCAATTTCGGTCCCCCACAGACCAAGGATGAAAACCGGCTGTTCTTATGGGATCTAGTTAGGTGCATAGCCCCAGGAAGGGGCCCTGCTGCCAGGCGCGTACCTGATTGAATGTAGCTTTCCAGTTTCTGCTCTCATTTCTTCCTGTATTTTCTCAATTGTTTCTCTCATGTCCTCCCTTAATTTACTGGATATCTGGCTCACTCCTTTATTGATTTCATTGAACATCTTCATTACTTCATATCTGAATTCTTTCTCAGAAAGGTCCCTTAGGTTAATAGCAACTAATGAAACTTCTGGACTCTTTTCATCATACTCCCGTCATGGTGGGGATTTGCATTGTTTCTTCATATTGTGTGGAGGTATGGAGATTGAAATGTTACACGAGATTGCTGGGTTGAGTAAACTACCTATGGCTGCGTAGCATTGGCCAGCCCCAAATTAGGCCATGTCCACTTCTACAGAGGCCACACAGACTTCTGAAGAGGCCACACCTCCTACGGGTACCTGGTGTGTGTGGGGGCACAACCTGGGGGAGGAAGAAGACCTGGCCCAGTGTTGGGGACAAACAGGAATATGCTCAGTGATGGTGAGCGTCCCAGGGTCCTAGAGGATGCCTGGGGTGCATACATGGGGAAAGCCAAGTCCCGGGTTCGAAGAATGATTGACCTGGGGAGGAAGAAGACCAGGCACAGCATTGGGGACGAATAGGAAGAGGCTCAGTGATGGCTAGCATCCCAGGATCTTAGAGGACAACTGGAGCACGTACACGGGGAAAGCCTAGTCCCGGGTTCGAATAATGACTGACCTGGGGAAGGAAGAAGACCGGGCACATCATTGGGGACGAAGAGGCTCAGTGATGATGAGTGTCCCAGGGCCCTAGAGAACACCTGGGGCACGTACGTGGAGAAAGTCAGGTCCTGGGTTCGAATAATGACTGAATTTGCTGTATATTTCAGACCATAGTCCTCAGGCCAAGTTAGTCTTTCCTAATCCCAGCAGGGTTCTTATCCAGTTATTTCTTTTTGGGTCATGGCAGAGTTTGTTCACGACTGTGCTTTTAACTTATAGTTAAGTATTATGGAGCTCGGCCAGGCCCATTTTGATGCCAGACTAGCTCATGGCTTGCCCTGGTACCATCTAGTCCCTCTCTGGGACCCTGCTTTTGGAGTGCTAGAAACTAAGGGAAAATGAGGCTTATTTAAAGTAAATATAGATGCTCAGGAGTCAATATTATTTTGGAGTCAATTAACTCCCATGTTACATAACATTACATCAACTGTTTCCTGTGTCTATACAAAAAGGACATTGCCAAATACACCATGCAAATGATATAAAGGAAAGAGAAAAAAGCAATATAGGATTATTAGTGCCTGATGGAATTGGGTGTGTGGGTATGCCTCAGTTACACTGTTGTGCGAGTGGCTCAATAAACCTCAAGCTCCCTGCACGAAGAGCAAGCACAACCCAATGCTATCCAACATCTGATCACAGATTTAGAAGTAATCCCACCAACAAAACTGATCCATGATTATTATGTGCACATCTGGGTGTGCATTCAAAACATTAGACAAAAAAAATCATCGCTCTGTACACCCCAAACTTCTACAATTATATATATGCATTTACTTTTAAGTTATATTTCAATAAAACTGGAAAACAAATTAAAAAACTAAAATAAGACCCATCTACTGGCTTTCAGTAAAGAACTAGTTCCTTCTTACTGAAGTGCCAATGACCAATGTTTTAATATAATAATTTAAGGTAAAGAGATAAAGCCATCAAACAGAGACAAAGGAACAGTGGCGGTGAAATTTTAGATATTAAACACTCAGTGAATTTATTTGGAAATCAAAATAGTGTTGATATGTTGTGTGTCTCAGTTATTTAAAAGGTGATCTGTTGTAGAACACAAAAGCATGCCTTATTCTATAGATTATACCTTTCCTGAGAAGATCTGTCCTGAAATGAGTATTGTTTTCTTTCCTTTTGACCTTTTTTGTATGTGGGATCACACTCAGCTCAGGGTGGGAGAAAGAAAACTAAAGTTTGAGGTTAAAATGAGTGCGTTTAATTATGTGAAGGACGAAGTCTTTACCAGGAAAAAAGCTTTCAACTAAGCTGTTTGAAAATTGGTAAGAGCTCAACTAAGAAATAAACTAATGTAAGTTCTAGAACTTGCTTTGTAACCTTAAATATGGCATTTTCCACCATTTCTTAGCTTCTTTGTCTACAAAATGACTAATCAAAACATTCCATTAATTATTATCATAAATGACATATTCGAGAGGGACGTCCCTTTCAGAGAGCCCGGCAAGCTACCAAGAATATCCCGCCCACATGGCAGAGCCTGGCAAGCTACCCTTGGCGTATTCAATATGACAAAAATAGTAACAATAACAGGTACCATTCCCCTGACCCTGAAAGAGCTTCCAATATGGCAACATTGGGAAGTACAGGTAAGGAGAGGCTGCTAATATCTCAGGGCATGAACAAATAGAGACATTACTGACACCCACTCAAGCAAATCGATGACCAACAGCATGACAGTGATACAGTGGAATGACTTATTAGAGAGGGTGTGATGATTTATCACTGTACCATTTTAATATCTGTTGGAGTCTGCAGTTCATTTGGATAATTTGCAATTTTAGTTATACTCGAGAACATAGTCTTAAATTATCTTCTCCAAATGGTTATTGGTTTATTTGAGAAACTACTTGCTGTTTTACTTATGCATTTTCCCTTTTATTTCTTTCTTACTCTAGGTGTCAACTCTGCCCGCTCAGTTCCTCCTTCATACCCACCACCACAGGACCCATTAAACCAGGGCCAATACCTGGTCCCAGATGGCATCGCTCAGTCACAGGTCTTTGAGTTCAGCGAACCCAAGCGCAGCCAGTCACCATTCTGGCAGAACTTCAGCAGGTTAACTCCCTTCAAAAAATAATACTTACAGGGAGGCAGATAATTTTAAAATAAAGTAAATTATATTTATAGATGGACCTTTTTTTTCGGAGAAACACTGTTGAAATTTATATACATATATGTATCTCTATATATGTATATATATATATGGACATAAAATAGACCCTCGAGTGTACACACACACAAACACACAGAAGGAGCAAAAACATTTTCTTTTGGGGGAAATTAAATCTGTAGTCGTAGAAAGGTACCAATAACATCTAAACTAATGACCGTTTCTTCACAAGTTTTCCATTCTCACCCTGACCTCCTTGCATTTGCTTTTAGAAACTAATAGCTCTATTTCTTTGTTTTTCAGTTAATATAATTTCTTTACTCCCTGTGAGTGATTCATGACTTGTCATTAATACCATAGATGTGTTTGTATTGGCTTCTAGTTTTCTGATGATAGTATGCTAATGAGTTTTAAATTAATTTGATGTGAAATTTGAAAGTTTGAATCTTTTCCCCCTTTCACTTTTCAGTGGATAAAGGGAATATTCTCCTTTTCCTCTCCCTCAGCCAATTCTCTGCAGATATTTCTGCAGCATTGCTGTTGCTCTGAACATTTTTCCTGCATCTTCTCAGTTGCATCGGTCTAGACATGCTTCTTTGTGCCCTGTGACAGCTGCTTGATATTTCTATTGCTTTCACTATGTTTTAGTTGTTGTAAAAGGCCGTAAACCAACCAGAAAAGAGGTAATATATGTTTATAATGTCAGAGTATAAAGAATCTGGAGAGGAATGATGTGCAGGCAACTTTCTGCATTTGGACTAGTTTAGTACTGAAATTTCTCATATCATAACACTTCTGGGTTTTGAGAGTTTTGTATCTGGGGTTTATTTGGGGCCAATTATTTCCCTTTTAAAATGCTTTGGTTATGGTATTCCAGTATGATATTCCACATGATATATCCCTCTCCTAATGTAAAAGATGAACTTGAAGTTAAAAGGCTTATACATCAATCCTGGAAGAAAGAATTAACTGCCTCCTAGCACTAAGTAGATTTCTATCGGGTTTTCTTTTCACAACACGTGTGGGTATTTGCTCATTCCTGCTGCAAATTACATAGTGTTTAGGAAGAAAGTATAAGGAGCCTATGAGGTACAAGAAAAAGCCCACCTTTTTCTTGTTTTCACTTTGTTTTAGGTGTAAAGGGACCCAAATCAACCAGAAAAGGCAGCAACTTTCAGAATATTTATTTGGACAGGATCTAAGATTATACCATCTTAATGGAAAATAATAGGTTAGGGAATGTAAAGAATCTCTGACTAATGTACGTACCTACAGTTCATACCACTCCAGTAATATGAGTCGTCTCCCAGATTGCATGGAAAATCTTCTACTACACCTACCTTCCCTTTGTTTTCTTTCCTGAAAACCTGGCACAAGTTTGATAGACATTTCTGACTATAAAGGGCTATGTTTTCAACATTATCTCATCCAATGGTATTTGAACCAAATTAGCAACCAGAAAAGAAAGGGTCTGAGACAGAGATGCTATTTACGTAATCATTATTGGCAGGTTTTCTAGCCTGAGAAAAACTAACTTCTCCAAAAAATTAAGTTCTCTGTTGGTGCACAAGTAACTATTCTTCTTTCTTGCATTGGCCCTTGAGTGGTCAGACCTTAAGCAGCATGCAGAATAGAGTGAGTATAGGTCATGCAATGGAGATCCCCCCTAGTTAGGAATCTGGAAATTCTGAGTCTGTCCTAAACCCAATATAAGATTTAATTATTTAAGAACCTCAGCTTACTGAGCAGCACTGCTGTTCTATTATAAACCCAGACAAAATATTTCTCAATCTGGGAATTATACCTTTGTGAGCATAAATTTTATGCTATTTAATTTTTCATTTTTGCCATACTTAAATTAGACTTGTAGTGTAAACAAAAACTAAGATTGAAATTGGCAAATGGCAAGGGCTTGGAATTAATCACTAGTTCTTATCACGTGAACAGCTTCTTTAGACACCATTGGGAAGTCTCTAGACCTGAGCTATGACAACACAGTGACTGTGTAGGCCTCACTGATGGGTACATATTTTTCCTACTTTCCATTCTTCCCATCTATACTCGGCTTTGATATGCTTTCTCAAAGCCTGGACATATATCAGAAAGGAATGATTTATACTTTAGGGGCCTACAAATTTTATTAAACAAGCGCCCTCATAGCCCCTACTACCAGTGACTGAGTTCAGAGGTTTAGAGTAAGGGTTACCATCTCTCACTATCCACTCACCTCATATTTATCCAAGCCACTGACCTCTTGAGATACCAGTAAATTGTAAAATGAGAAATAAACTTACCATTTTGTTAAAGTGGAAATTTTAGATTATATTAGCAAAGCATACCAGTGACCTACAATCCCAAGGGGAAACCCATTACCTAGAGTTAGAGTTCAGGCCAATTCTGTCTCCACAGCAATGCTATTTTCAAGAACTCTGTATATTTTGTGTTTCTGCATGACCCAGAACTCTCCTTTTCTCAACTCAATGAGAACTGATTTGCTCTCCAAAAGGCTTTGCTAAGTATGTTCTAGGGGCCTTCACGTGGGTTGGTCCAAACATAGAAATCCATCACTCCCTTTTCTCTTCCCTGTCCCCTTCTCTCTGTGTATATCTCTAATGGACTTATAAGGACAGCAACAAGAGAAATCTAACAATTATGATGTGATGCCAAATAGTGATCTTTTAGTGCTTTGGGGGTGGGGTGGGCTGGGTTTGATGGATGGGAAACAGCAATTTTTATTTCCCCTGCTGCTCTGCATTTACCAATTATTATTCTGTTTCTTCTGGATGTTTGACCTTGTCAAACAAATGTCAAACTTGTGTGTTTAATAAAAATTGTTTAACAACAAAAATAAGACGTTGTAATGACACAAAGCCTTATAAAATATTTATGGAATTCAATAAAGAAGTAAAAAAGACACCTCCAGGCATCACTATCATTTATGTTTTGTGTATGTCTGTGTCAGCTATTACAAAATAAACATAATCCTCATTGTATGAGCAGCTTACACCAAATCATTCTTGGTCTGCCAGTTATATTGTTTTAATATCAAGAACCCAATGAGTTATCTTGACTTCCCATGTATTTTTATCTGGAAAATTTGAGACAAGGAGGAAGTTTGATTGTGCAACCAGGGCAATTTAAGTGTCTTTATCTATGCGGCTTAGGCATCAACAAGATTTCAATGCCCATTTCTGACTTCTCTTTTTCCTTGCAGCTACAAGTGCCTAATGAAGGCGCACACAAGAGATTTAAGAACTTCTTTTGGGACCCCAAAAGAGGCTATATCAATCGGTAATGTCTTACCCATGGTATTTTCCTAATACTACTAATTTTGTCTCAATGGAGATCCTTATCCAGTGCCAAACATGGGTTTGAAATGAACACAGTCTTTCATTATAATATTACCAGAATGTAGATTTTTCTTGCTTCCCACAAGGTCTCTCTGTGTGGAGGACTATGTCTTACCTAAATACAAAAAACAATAGATACTTATGAAAATCACAGAATCACTCTATTCTCATGAATTATCAATCATTTATCCTACCCATTTAAAATAGAGAAAAGTATCCAAAGAACACTCATGTAATACAGGATAAAAGAGCTCAAGGAAGAAGTGAGAGAGATGTAAAGCAATAGAGTGCTTCCAAGACATATGATTTTTGTCCCCAATTATATCTTTGTAAAATGTCTTTCAATCAGCTTGTCTTATTTGTCTGACTTCATAATAAACTGTCCCATAAGTTTTGGAATGTGGATAAAGGTCACTGGAACACTGGAAAATTAATCTTTTCTATGTCCTGGTGAGTACAGAATCCTTTCAGGTTATCATAATTTAGAATCGTCTTTGACACTGACACTATTCCCTAGAACTTCACAGAATTTAAATCTCACGTTATCACTGTAGATGTGGGTTTGATAACACACCTTTGATTGTCACTGTCCTGTGCCACTTACCTATTCCCATCTAGTAGAGCGTTTTGTCTTGAAATTCAAGTAAAATACTTGAATTGATGATTATTGTGGGCTGGAGCGATAGCACAGCGGGCAGGGCATTTGCCTTGCATGCAGCCAACATGGCCGACCCGAGTTCAATTCCTCTGCCCCTCTCAGAGAGCCCGGCAAGCTACCGAGAGTATCTCGCCTGCATGGCAAAGCCTGACAAGCTCCCCATGACGTATTCGATATGCCAAACACAGTAACAAGTCTCACAATGTTACTGGGCCCGCTAGAGCAAATCGATGAACAACGGGAGGACAGTGACAGTGACAGCAATGATTATTGTATTAAGTGTTATCACTGAAGAATTTGTGGTTTTGTGTGTTTGTTTCTTTAAACAACAGTAATTCTAAAATACAGTAAATTCTCCTTACATGATTAACCATGATAAGACACAGGAATTTAAACAAAAGGAAAGAATGTGTGGCATAGCAGGTATACTGTTTCAAGATGGTAGTGGAGCTAACTCACCTGTTGCTCAGTTTTTCTCCTCTCCCAGATGCACCAAATATACAGTTACACTTGCAACAATTTTCTCTTTGGACAAACACTTATCATAAGCAAGAAATAATTGAGTTACATTGAACTTTACAAGGGAAGACCGAGAAACCCTACCTTCACCATGATACACATTATCAGGGAGTACTCAAAATCTAGAATATCTCCCAAAGAAGTGAAGGGTTGGTACCTTAGACACAAAAGTTTTAATACGTTCACCTGAGAGATTATCCTCAGAAGTATTTGACTTTGAAAAATTTGAGTGAAATCTGAGATTATAACCTAGAAACAGCTTTTACATGGTCTTACTCATCTCATAGCTCAGCGAAGAATTAATCATTTGAGAGGTGCCCAAGTTTATGTAAAAGGAACTTATTAGAAAATCTTAAAGAATTGACTTCAAGGACAATAGATTGATTGCAATATTTGTCCCTGTGGATGGATCTGGTGGGCATCATCATAACATTCACTTGCCATGATAAAACTTGAAGAATTCTATTTTCACATTTCTCCACATCCAGAATTAGATAATGGGTGCACCTCCTATCCCAGTTTCCAAAGCACTAGTATCTCTTTATGGTGAAATTTTTCATGTATCTCTTTTCCTTTTTATATTGTTGTTTTGTTTTGTTTTGTTATGTATATTGGGCCACATTTGGATGATGTTCAGGGTTATTATTGGCTCTGCACTCAGGACTTATTCTTGGCGGTGCTCAGGTACTCTATGGGATGCAGTATTCAAACATGTGTTTGGCATGTGCCTTCCTATTCTCTGACCCCACTTGCCATATATTTTATGCAGAGGGCTCTAATTTCTATGGTAGCTCCACATTAAAAACATTTGTAAAAATACAGTAATAAATCTAACCCTGAAAACTATACACGTCTAACTCTGAAAGTGATCATTACCCTGACCCTAACTCTAAATTTAACCTAAACTTGACCCATAATCCTGAACCTGGCACTGTGATCCTGACCTTCTAATTTATGCTGATGCTGACCCTGACTCAATCCAAAGCCTAGTTTATATTCTAATCCTGACTCTAATACAAACCCTAACCCTAAACCTTAGATCTAGTACTTAGGACACTAATTCTAACCTAATGCTGCCCCTAACCTATAACCTATATCTCACATAAATGTTACTCAACTATTTTTATTATTGTGACTCCCTTCCAAACTTTATTCTTTATTTTGTCCCCAATGCTACCACTTGGTCCTCTAGTCTTGCACCAACCATCACCATTTATGTTATTTTTATGTCCTTTTTGGAACATAGCA